CGAAGTCGATGTTGTTTCCTGGCTGAGGTCCTGGGGCGTTCGGTGGCGCGTCCATCTCCTGGCTGTAGTCGGGGGGGCACATCATGTCACACATGCCACCCATCCTCACGGCACCGAGTTCGCGGCAAGCACCGTGGCCCCGCGGCCACAATCTCGTCGAGCCTGAAATGCTTGAGCAAACCTTGGCCGCGGCGCCGTTCATCGCCCTCTGCGAGGCCGAAGACAACGACGACAAACAAACAGTGAGAGCAATAACCACTTGTGACGATTGGTCCTCTGTCTACATTCTGTATCTACATCTATAGTATTGCAGACTCAACCTGTGTATATGCATACACATATATACATACGAGAACCACGCGCGCGCTACGCACGCGCTTAGGTTCTAGTCGCAGATGAGGCACGGGTGCTGCTGTAAGCCCCGCTGTGTCACACCGACGATTTCCAGCGTTCTCGGGCCCATGCCATCGACGCAAAGAAACGAGTAGTCAGAACGCTCTCGCTCTGCCGGGGCCGCCCTTGGGGTGGGAGGGGGAAAACAACTTGTGAAATGATATGGTGTAACGATGCCCCGCTCGCTCTGGCGGGGCCTGTCTGGCGCTCTGGCGGGGCCGTCCCAGAAGAGGAGGGAGGAGCACGAAAGCTGAGGGGTCAGGGGAGGAAGAGGAGAGAGAAGGGAATGGAGGCAAGGGGAGGGGGCGGGAGGGAAGGAGGGGCGGAGGGGGGAGGCCCGGGCCATCAGGGCCGTCTTGGAGCGCTCTGGGGCCTCCCGCTCCCGCTCTGTGGCCAAGCTTGTTGGGCCTGTCCTGGGGCTCTCTTGGGCCGTCTGGGGCTCCTCCTGGACTATTTTCGGGCTCCCCGGGGCCGTCTTGGGGCTCGTTTGGGTGCCTCTTCGGCGGTCTTGGGGCGGTCTTGGGGGCGTCTGCGGCCGTCTTCGAGCATTGGAAGCTCGAGAACGCGATAGAGCGAAAAACCTCTAACAAACCACTGTAAATCAATGCTTTGGGCCTCTTTGGGCTCTCTCGGGACGTCTCTCGGAGCTCTCTTGGGCCATCTTGGAGACCTTTTTGGGCTGTGCGTTTGCGGTCTTGAACTCCTCTTGGGCCACGTTGGAGTCATCTCGGCCGTCCTGCAGCGCCCTGGGGCCTCCCTCTCCCGCTCTGTGGCCCAGCTTGGGCCTGTCCTGGGGCTCTCTTGGGCAGTCTTGGGCTGCTCCTGTGCAGTCTTCAGGCTCTCCTGGGCCGTTTTGGGGCTCTTTTTGGAGCCTCTTCGGCGGTTTCGGTGCGATCTTCGGGGCGTCTTCGGCCGTCTTGGAGCGTCGCGAGAAAATGAAAAACATGTAGAACAAATGCTCGGAAATCGAGGATATGGGCCTCTTCGGACTCTTTGGGACGCCTCTCGGAGCTCTCTTGGGGCCTCTTGGAAAGCTCTTGGGCTGTGTCTTGGCCGTGTTGGGCCCATCTGGGGCCACGTTAAGGCCATCAGGGCCGTCTTGGAGCGCCTTGGGGCCTCCCGCTCCCGCTCTGGGGCCAAACTTGGGCCTGTCCTGGGGCTCTCGTGGGCCGTCTGAGGCTCGTCCCGGGCAGTTTTCGGGCTCCCCGGGGCAGTCTTGGGGCTCTGTTGGGGGCCTCTTCGGCGGTCTGGGGGCGGTCTTAGGGGCGTCGTCGGCTGTCGTGGAGCATCGGAAGGTCGAAAACGCGAGACACCGAAAAACATAACAAAATCATGATAATCAGAGATTCGGGCCTTTTCGGCTCTCTCGGGACGCCTCTTGGAAGTCTCTGGCGGCCTCTTGGAGGTCTCTGGGGCTGTATTTGCGGTCTGGTACCCATCTGGGACCACGTTGGGGCTATCTGGGCTGTCTTGGAGTGGCTCGTCGAAGTCCCCCGGGGGCTACTGAGAGCGTCTTAGAGCTCTCCGGGGCAGTCCGGGGGCTCCACGGCCCCTCCGGGGTGCTCTGGGAACGGTCTCGGAGGCCCCGGCCCCCCCTGCCAGCTCCTGGGCGCCCGGGCCTCCTGCGCGGGTATATTACCCGGACCCCCCCCCCATAAACCGGACCACCACCACCCAGGACACCCCCGACGCCCCTGCCCTGCACCCAACGAACGCCCTGGACGCCCTTTCGGAGTCCCGGCGGCCTTACGGGCAGTTGGACGCCCCTGCCGATCGGAGCGGGCCCAAAACGGGCCCCAAGACGGCCCATCAGCGCTCAAAGAGGACCCAAAATGGTTTCAAGACGGCCCACGAGGCCCCCAAGATGGTCCAATCGGCCCCAAAAGGGACCCCCAAGAGCCAAAAATCGTCCCATTCCCGTGGAAACGTACGCTTTTGAATATATTAACTTTTTCCGCTTTCACAGCGTCCACGGCATCCCCAGAGACTCTCAAGATCGCCCCAGGACGGCCTCTGAGGCCTCTATGAGCGGCCCACCCAAGGCGGCCCAAAAGAGCTCCAAGACGGATCAAGAGAAGCCCAACGCGGCCCAAGAGGGGCCCCAGAGGGCCCCGAGAACTCCCAAGAGAGTCCCGATAGAGCCACAGGAGGCCCCCAAAAGTGTCCCAATAGGGCCCCCGAAAACGGCCCGGCCTCCCACAACGGCCAAAAGAAGGTTCCGGGACGGCCCAAGAGGGCTCCAAGACGGCCTAAAACAGCCCCAAAAGGAGTCCTCTGGTCTGGAGAGTCACCAGAAGCTCAAACGTGAGCCCACACCGTTCTAATATAGCTTCCAGCACTTCTCTTACACTCCACGAGGCCGTAGTTCGCAGGACGGTGGTTCGAAAGGACCTCAGAAGCCCCACACGCGTCCAGGACCCCTCCAGGCATTCAGGGAGCGACCGATCATCGTCGCCGCCGTCGTCGTCGTCGTCGTCGTCGTCGTCGTCGTCATACGGAGGAGCAGGAGGTCTCGGCCTGTCATCGCGGGCTGCCGCCTCATTATTGCGTAGCTCGTTTATTGACGCCCCGAGCGCTCGCTCCCGCGGCCTGCCCGAGAGGAGGAGCTGGAGGAGAAGGAGGAGGACGACGACGACGAGGAAGGGCCAAGTTTCTGAGCGCTTCTGGTCCCATCGGGAGCTTCCAGAGGCCCTCGAGAGACGAGCGCCCCATCTGCAGTTCAGACGAGAGACCCATCGTCGTCGTCGTCGTCGTCGTCGTCGTCGTCGTCGTCGTCGTCGTCGTCGTCGTCGTCGTCGTCGTTGTCGCCAGCGTCGTCGTCTTCGTCGTGGTGGTGGTGGTGGTGGTTGTGGTGGTGGTGCTGATGGTGGTGGTGGTCCTCGTGATCGTGGTCGTATTCGTGGTCTCGACGCCCCCTCTGCTGAAACACGCGATGACGTATTGCTTTTCCGAGAGGCGTCCGGAACAAAACGCATGGCGCGAAGCGCCAGTGCAGTCTGGTGTATATATATACACATGTATATGTAATTTATTATGTTGTTGGACCCTCTCGACCTCCAGGTCGCCACGGAAAGTGAGCGAGCGACCCTCTTCGTGCTCCGTCCTCTTGCTCACCTTGCCCGCCTCCACCTTCGCAGGTCAGAGGCTTGAAAGACGACCCACAGCTGAAGACAGCACAACCCACTCCCACCCCAAGCCAGGACCCCCACTCCCGACCTGGTGATCCAGGACGTCCTGGCTGGGGGTGGGGGTGGCCTTTGGCCCCAAGAGCCCCCAACAGGCCACCCCTATCCCCAGCCAGGACCCCCTGGAACACCTGGTCGGTAGTTGGGATCCTGGCTGGGGGTGGGGGTGAGTTGTGCTGTCCTCAGCTTATTTCCCCCCCACGAAAAAACTGAACTAGCATATCGACTAATCCGCTGCCCCTCTGGGGGGCTAATCCCAGAGGCGCGATCGACGGACAAACCTCCTGCTCCTAAGAAGCCAACCCCTCTCGGAGGCGAGGATCGGGGCGAGTAGCCAAGGGGCGGGCATTACACGCATTCGCAGGAGAGCCCCTCCGAAGACATGGACCACCGGCACCCTTGAGTCCATGTGGCGGATTCCCGAAGCTCTGAACCCAAAAACGCTTTGTCTCTTAGGGGCGCATCTTCTCCTTCCGCCGCCTTCCGCCGGCCTGCCGCCGGCGAAGGCGGCCTCGTTCTATTCCGCAGGCCTTTCGCCGCCCTTCCGTCGCCTTCTGCCGAGGAAGCGATGACGACTCCTCCCACCCTCGAGGGCGGGGCCCGTTGTGGACCGCCCCACGCATTGCTCCCCCCCCACCTTGGCTATTCGCCCCTGCCGTCGCCTCCGACCCCCCGGGCGCGCGGTCGACAGCTCCACCCCGCCCCCCCCCTCGGGGGCGCGCAGACGTGGACAAGCGATCCGTGGATTTGGCGCGCGGTCGCCGAATCCGTGGATCTGGGGAGGTGCCCTCCCCAAAAATGCGGGCGGTGCCGCCTCGTCTGGCGGCGGAAATCCGCGATTTCCCATGGAAACGGGACCCGTCGCTAACCCACGCCCCCTTAATCCATGTTTGCGATCGCCTGACAAAGTGGCCCTGCACCAAAGGCCACTCCGGCGAAGGGTCACTCTTACACCCCAGGGTGAACAACAAACAGATCGTCGGGCACCTGGGCTTGCGTATAGCCTTAGGTCGGGCCTGTCCCCCTTCAGGGGGATTTTGGGCGAAAAAGTAAAGTTCAAGGTCAAGGTCAAGGTCAAGGTCAAGCCTGTATGCCCGCGAAGGGGCGGCCGCTTAGAGCACAGGCGGGTGAAAACCAGCAGGCGCTCATGTGGTGAAGGAGATCTCCGGTCATACACTTCCAAGAACGTGCGCCTCTGGCTGCCACTCTCCAGTCACCGACGCCGTACTTGTCGCAGAAATGCGCAAAAATACGCAAAAACACGCAAACATACGCAAAAAAGACGCCGTACTTGACGCAGAAAATACGACATCGGACTCCAATCACAAAAATACGCAACAAAATGCTCCCAACATGCTCGCCTGACGCACGGCGCCCGCGCCGCGGGCGGGAGGCCGCCGCCCGGGGGGGCGGGGGAGGCGCCTCCAGCTCGGGCAGCAACACGCGCAGCTCCAGGGGCGGGGCCCGCTCGC